TGCGACGGTCTCCTGTCTTTGCTCCTGCACTCCCTCTCTAAGGTCAGTTACCTCCTGTCATGTGTTTGATACATTTGTCTAACCGTTGTCTAATGTTGACGCAAAATCTCTGAAATGTTGTCTTGTTTGTTATTTTCCTTTGGCCAGCAACAACAAGACTCTGGAGATCCATGTTTAGATTCTGTTTTGTTTCTGGAGTTGTGGAAACGTATAGGAACTCCCTTAACAAAGACAACAGCAGACTCACCGTTCTGTTCAGCAAAGGGTAACTTTATGTTCTATTAATCACTGCTATTTTTATTTTTTATGTTGCTGTATTAATCACGTTAATTACAGTCGAAAGAGTTATTTGACATCTTAATAGCATATGTATGTAGGAGTTAATCAGGAGTTAATGCAGGTGTCTAAGATTGACTCCAGTTAGATCATTTATAATTTCATACAATTTAAACAATAATTTATTTACAATTTACAAGTACAAGTAAAATTGAATTCTGATTTTATTGACTTTGGTGTGGGTAGGAGAAAGCGAGAAACTGTACCAAACTTTGTCAACTTTTTTTATTTTTTATTTTTTTTTGAGTTATAAAGAAGTCTGTCTATGAAGATTCTCAGTCATCCAGGTTAAGGTCAATGTTGAAGAGTTCCGTGTTTCATGTCCGGCAACTGGACATGAAATTTTCTCAAGAAGTCGTTTCGCCTCGAGAAAATTCTTGAGAAACTTTGATGTCCAGTTGCCTAACGGAATTCTTCAACCTACAGAGGAGTCATTTATACTGTAAGTCAAATGTTTGGGGTCCATTGCCACATTCTATTTGATTTGATATTTGTTGGCTGAAACAACTGTTTGTCATTTAACCAGCAGTTTACACCTCAGTTAATCATAAACTTCATTTTACTCTTCACATCAGGTTTGTTTTCCTTCTTATCAACTGCACTGTTGGTCTTCACCAGGGATCCAACCTCCTGCTTTACTTTGTTTTCAAAGAGAGAATCAAAGTGTGTTTACACCCTTGGACTTCTGCTCAACACAAAACGGTTGGTGTGCACATCTCTTAACAAGAGTCTAATAGCCCATCTTTTATTATGGCTCCTGCTAACACCCTTTTTTATACTGTACAGTCTTAATGTTTTTTTCTCTGGAGGCGTTGGTCAAAGACGAGAGACCGGAGTGAGTGATGATCAGCTGTTCACCATGAGCTGTCAGTTGCTTTGCTTTCCGTTTGCTTTCGACCTTCCTACTCACACCATGATCAGAATTCTCGAGGTGTACGATGGTTGCAACATTGTCGGAAAACTCATTAAGGTTAGAGCCTCCATATATGTTATATTCTTATGCCACACAAAGTATCCTACTGCTGTGCATGTAAATTACATTTACATTGTGTGTAACATTGTGCAGTGTGGCCATTTGTTGGATGTTGCAGATGATTCTGATTTGTTTTTTCCTGTTTTGGCAGGGAATTCAGACCGTTCCTGCATCGCTCCTGGAGCTTCCTCTCTCTCTGCTGAACGTTTTGCTTCTCTGTGAACCTAATTCCATTTTCCACCTGAGAAAAGCTGCATGTGGTTTTTTCACACATGCCAGAGACAGCCGGCTCAATTCATCCAAACATGTAACTGCTGTCTCTAGGACTGCAAACTCTTTGCTTATTGACTTACTTCAACTGGAAATGCTGTGGGGCTCTGCTGTTGAGCTCCTGACTCTCCTTTCTTTAGTAGCCTGTTCTGCTCAGCCTGGCAGCCTCCAGCTGAATCTGGAACCATCTGCAGTACAGTATGCGCTGGGCCACACTCATTTCCAAATAAGGGTTGCTGCATGCAGACTTCTGGGATATCTGGATCCATACAGACCACCGTTGTCCCTCAGTCCTGACATATTTCAAGGCGTGGCAGACTGTCTTCTTGATTTGTGCTTGGCAGTGAGACAGATGTCTTTGAAGGCAGTTGGGAACTGGTTAGGACACCTTTCACTGTGTGCTAGGTTTAATATAGTCAGGTCGACTTTGAAGTATACAGATGATAAAAGGACTGGGAAAAGAAACACAAAGAAAACTGTTAAGGAGATGCGGATTGAAAGCACAGAGTGTGTTACAGTTGAGCAAATAAATGATGACGAGCAATGTAGTTGGACAGAAACCAAAAACACAGCAGCTGAGATCATTTTTCCTAGTATTGCCCCTGATACCTGCATATGATGCACATGCATGGGAAACCTTCTCACAGTGTTGTCATTTTTGTTAGAGGCTGAATGGTTCTACTTGTTTCAAAGAGTTGCATGCATGGATTCCCATCATCCAATGACAAGCCAAGACAGCAGTTCTATACCACTGTCACACAGTAGCAGTTTAAATATCTTGGACAAAATCTTACAAAGTAATGTGATCAAATCAAATATAAAACCAAAGCTATTAGCCACTGCCAGGACATTTAGGTGTTTCATTAAATTTGTGAAAGGAAATAAACAAAATTCACATTTTTATAAGACTGTTTTCTGTTTGACAGGAAAACATCTCTGACTATGATTATCTTGACAGGTGTTTCTAATTCATTTGGATCTAAATTTCCAAGTGTTTATTGTCATCATCATCACTTTCCCTTTTTTGGTACCTCAACTATTGATAAAAGTGAAATTGACCTTTGTTTTCAACCAGAAACTATTTGAAATAGAAAAATAAAGAAAATCTAAGAGAATCAGTTCAGTGTCAGGAGGAACAAGTTTTACCGTTTTTTTTTTTTTTAACATATTTTCTACATACTCCACCTGGTAATACTTTTATATTTGTTCAGTATTAGTTTTTCATGAACTCAGACATTGAAAGGTTTTTCTTCTGTGTTTTTTTTTCACAGGAAAAGCAGCTCTGCGTCCGTCCAGGAGTATGGAGTCTTTGTGCTCTCTACCAACAGGTGTGGTCAAATATTTCTGCTTTAATTTGTATATGTTTGTGTTGGTGTTAGTGTTATTGAAAGCCATGACTTTGTATGACTGTTGATAGTGGGCAGTCATAGTGATGTGTAAACATGTAGTTGTTGGCAGGTTTTAAGGAAAACTTGTTTGTTTGTGTTAACATGTGGCACAATGACGTGTTCTTCTAATCTGCAGGTTCTTCCACGCTGTGTATGAGGAGGAGTTTGGTAGGGTCAAAGGTCATCTTGGTCCCATCAACTGTGTGGCTTTCCACCCTGACGGTAAATGAGACCAACACAGCTTTTGGATTTTGGTTGTGTTATTCCAGCTTGTCTTTGTCATTCCATTCATTGTGCCTCCTCTGCTATTGTCATTTACAGATGGTGCAGTGGAGGAGAAGCCGGACATGTGAGGTGGAGGCCTGACTCTGCCAAGTAGAATGAAGGAGCAACTTCATTTGAAGCAGATCACTTGTTGTTTGCTGGACCTGTGAGTTTTTTACTGAATTGTGTAGTTTTTTTTTTTAACTTCAGTTTTTTAACTTAGCTTTTTTTTAGTAAACAGCTTTTTAGTTAACAGATTTATATAACAGACTTATTTTACTTCATTGTGTAACTTGAGCTGTATTTGATTGAAAATACTCTTGTAAACTTTTCAGAATAAAAAATAATTCAGCAAATATGAATAGCATTGTGCATTGTCAAAGTCACGGGTAAGGATAAAGAAAGAGAACAAGATAAAAAAAATTTAAAAAATATTTTTTTAGTTTTTTACTTTATTTATGTTTTGTTTTTTAGTTGTGTAAGAACTAAGTAAAACATGCTAAGTGAATCATTTGTGCTAAAACTAAAACTAAAAAATTGTGTTTTGTGTAAGGCATGTTTTGGGTCTTTATTTTTATTAATTTTTCACGATGGTAAGGCTGTAGT